CTCGCTCAGCCAGTGAGCGGGAACCGGTCTGTATGTGGGATCCGAACCCTCGGCGGGAGCGCCACCGCACTCCCAAGCGGCGCACTGTAGCAGTGCGCCACCGGGCCGGCCCCTATTGGACTTTTAAGTTTTCATTTTAGCTATAATAAATAATGCTTCAAGTCAAACCTTTACATGTGAAACTTTTTTGTAGTAATAAAGAGCTTTTAGGCTGGCTTGTTAGCTCAGATGGTTGGAGCATGGTGCTGATAATACCAAAGTCAGGGATTCGATCCCTGTATTGGCCAGCAAAAAAAAAAAAAATGACTTTTATTAATTAACCATCCATAGAATGTCTATACTGTGTAATTTAATCTAGGTCTTTCTAAGAAAACTGTATCGTATTTTTTCATCATTGACTTTTCATGGTTGTATCCCTTTTATTCACGGTGACTTTTCCCCCTTTCATATTTGTGGAAGAATTCTAGGGCTTTTGGTGTCGACCTGTTCTGTTTTTCATTGGAGAAGTAGCTGTTTTCATACTTCCCTTTTTCTGTTATAGGCCTTTGTTCCATGTTATGAATTTAATAAGCACTGAGTCTGGTTCTGAGGGACTTTGCATCAATATTTTAGCAGATGAGGCTGGCTTGTCACTCCCCTGTCCAGTCCACCACTGGCCCTAGGCACAGGCTGAGCCATGAGTGCTACATTCCTGCAGCACTGGTTTGCAATCCATTCCCACCTTTACCCACTCAGGCTGGACTATGGGCCTCATTTGAGTTATATAGCCACTAGGTCCACATGTTTGTGGAAGTTTTGGATCTAGCTTCTCAGAGTTAAGAAATAGAGCAGAAGACAACCACAGGTATTCCCTAGTGGTCATAGGCAGAGTCTCTGGAGAGAGGCATAGATTCAAAGCTCAGCCCAGTGTTTTCTCTTAGCTGGGTGACCTCAGGTGAGTTATCCATCTCCCTGAACCTTAGTTTCCTTCTTTGGGGATAAGAAAAGTCCTTATCTCCCAGGGTTTTTATAAGGATTAAATGTGATAATGCTTGTAAAGAGCTCACCAAAGTGCCTGGTACATAGTAAGTGCTGGGTAAACACTAGCAGTTAATTGCAGTTGCTTTTACTAGGTGGACTCTGATGGTGAACAGGTGTGTTGGGATGTCCCTGGGGAGCATTGGGTGACAGTGCTCTGTCCTCCCACAATAGGCTGGCAGAGAAGTACCGAGAGTGCCTGTCTAATAAGGAGAAGATCCTCAAGGAGATTGAGGTGAAGAAGGAGTACCTGAGCAGCCTCCAGCCTCGCCTCAACAGCATCATGCAGGTGAGGCCCACTAGCCCTTTTTGTTGCCTTCACCATTGACCAGAGGCTGCCGGAAGCCACATCCCCCTTTGGGCTTTCCTAGGTCTGTTACCCTAATCACTGTTAGAGTACACTGTAAGGATAGTCTTGTCTGCAGTTCTACCCAGGTGGTACGATAAGCTTGTGTCCTGGGGGAAGAAGTGCTGGCTCATGAGCTCAGGAACATATACACACGTTTACCTGGGCATTTTCTTTTCTTCCAGAGCTTCCTCTGGCTACCACACTTTCTCAGACTGTGGAAGTTTAGTTTACCCCCTGAACGATCCCTGCCAGCCCCATAGTCTCCAGGACTCTAAACATGCTCCCTGTGGATGTCTCTTAGATCCCACTGACAACACCTCAGGAGCAACCCTTGGCAGATCTACTCACTCGAAAAAGAAATTTACTCATATATGAAAGCCATTAGGTACCTTAGGAGGAAAAGTTCCCACTTTACCTATAAAATAAAATGTCTTTCTATATCGGTGACCCAATTTTTGTTTGCTTTGTGAAGCCAGATTTGGTCTAAATCCTTATAGTTTTATGAAGCAGGGTAGATGGCTAATATGTACGAACTTTGTAAAAGTTCCCTAGAGAAATTATAAATTCATTTTTCTAGGACTTGACAAGTTCTGCATTTCCTTCCTTCAACTCTAGGCATAGAATTAGAGTAATTAAATATTTTCCAGTAACACTGCATAATAGAACAAAAAGACAGCAGAAATTAAAAGTTTTGGTTGTACTTATCCCCAAGCCCCTCTACATGGCTAAATTTTCTCCTGTTACCTGGAAACTCTCTAACTGTCCCTAAATAGGGGGTAGGTTAAATAAATTCTTGAATGATACAGGCTTACAGCTGTGATGTAAACTGATAGAAAACTAAAATGTGAAAGAAGATCTGTCATATTAATAAACAAAATGTAAGCTATAGAACATATAGTATGATCTCATTTGTATACCGTGGTTTACAAAGTATCTGTATGGATATATGTATGTGAGTCCTGTGTACACTTAGAAAAGTCAGTATTCACATCAAACCATTGACAATTATCTTTGGGTTCCAGGAACTATGAGTTTTTGCTTTATAAACTTAAACACAACTTTTTTTTTAAAGATGACCGATAAGGGGATCTTAACCCTTGACTTGGTGTCAAGTGAGCCAACCAGCCATCCGTATATAGGGATCCGAACCTGTGGCCTTGGTGTTGTCAGCACCACACTCTCCCAAGTGAGCCATGGGCTGGCCCTAAACACAACTTTTTAAAACAAAGTATAATATTACTGAAAAAAATAATTTTACATACAGAAAAGCATACAACTCGTAAGTATAGTTCAGTGAATAATATTCAGCAAGTGAACACATCTTATAACCAGCACCCAAAATCAAGAAAATAAACATTACCAATTTTCCAGAATCTCCTTTATTCCCCCTCTCAATCACTAACACCTCCCACCCCCCAATAACATTGTCTTGACTGCTAACATCATAGGTTAGTTTTGCCTGTTTTTGCACTTTATACAGATAGAATCATAGTATATACTCTTTTGTGTCTGGCTTTTTTTAGCTCAACAGTATGTTTGTGATATTAATCTATGCTGTTATGAGTACCAGGAGTTCATTTATTTTCATTGATGTTTAGTATGTGGTTTTGGTTGTTTACAATTTGGGGCTATTGTGAATAATACTGCTATGAGCATTCTTATCTGTGTTGTTTGGTGCACATGTGTGTACACATTTCTGTTGAATGTATACCCACGAATGAAATCACTGAGTCATAGAGTAAGTAATGCATGTATTTTAGCTTTTCTAGACACTGTAACAGTTTTCAAAAGTGACTGTACTGATCTATGGCAGTTCCCACCAGCACAATATGAAAGTTCTCATTGTTCCACATGCTCAGCAACACTAGATTTTGTCAATCTTCTTAATTTTAGCCATTCTGGAGGGTATCTCATTATGGTTTTAATTTTAATTTCCTTGGGGACTAGTGACATTGAGCCCAGCACTTTTGTATGCTTATTAGCTTTTGGATAACCTCTCTTGTGAAGGGCCTATGCAGGTCTTTTGCCCATTTTTCTGTTGGGGTGCCTGGAGCTCTTTATATTTTCTGGAGGTGGGTCTTTTGCTGATACCTTTCCCATTCTGTGACTTACCTTTTCACTCTCATGATGGTATCTTTTAGTGAGAAGTTGTCCTTAATTTTAAAATAACCTAATTATTAATCTTTTCCTTTATGGTTAGTGTTTTTTGTGTCCTGTGTAAGAAATTTTTCTCTATCCCAAGGTCATAGAGATATTCTATATTTCCATATAGAAGCTCCATTGTTTACCTTTCACATTTAGATCTGTAATCATCCTGGTAGAGAATTTTGTATATAGTGAGAGGAAAGGGTCAATATTCATTTTTTTCTTTCAATAGAAGGTATTCAGCTGACCCGTTTATTGAAAAGACCATTCTTAGGCCGGCCCGGTGGCGCACTTGGTAGAGTGCGGCGCTTGGGAGTGTGGCGGCGCTCCCGCCGAGGGTTCGGATCCCATATAGAGACCGGTCCGCTCACTGGTTGAGCGCAGTGCGGGCGTGACACTGAGGGTTGCGATCCCGTTGCCGGTCACGGTACGGGCGCGACACTGAGGGTTGCGATCCCATTACCGGTCACGAAAAAAGACAAAAAGGAAAAAAAAAGAAAAGACCATTCTTTCCCCACTGCTCTGCAAATAAAATGTGTATGTGTGGGTTTGTGTGTGATGTTTGTCTATCTTTGTACCAGTATCACACTGTCTTCTTATTTACTGTAGCTTTATCAGAAGTCTCAATGTACAGTCATTGAATTCCTCCAATCTCTTTCTTCAGGATTGCCTCAGATTTTGTTGGCCCTTTGCATTTACATATACATTTTACAATAAGATGGTCTGTTTTTACCTGGTGGGGTTTTGATTGGGATTACATTGACTCTGTAGATCTTATTGGGGAAAATTGACATTTGAACAATATTAAGTCTTTCAGGCCATTGACATTCATTTATCTCCATTTATTTAGATTTTTTCATTTCTCAGATTTTTGTGTAGAGGCTTACACACCTCTCATTTATTTATTCTTAGGTATTTGATGTTTTGATGCTTTTGGAAATATCTTTTTATTTTTTATTTTTATTTTTTTTTATAAAGATGACCCGTAAGGGGATCTTAACCCTTGACCCGATGTTGTCAGCACCACTCTCTGAAGTGAGCTAACCGGCCATACCTACATAGGGATCTGAATCTATGGCCTTGGTGTTAATCCGCACCACATTCTCCCAAGTGAGCCATCTCCCTTGGAAATATCTTTTTATAATTTAATTTTCTTACTGTCTATTTCTAGTATGAAGAAATATAATTGATTTTTTTATATTGACTTTTTAACTGCCTGTTTCTTCTGTTTATCATGTACCACTTTCATAAATAAAAAACTATATACAATCAATCACTAAGGCAGCCGCATGTTCCTATGTAGACTGGCTAAAAAAGGAAAACCAAAAATTCTTCCTTTGTTGCCTACAGGCTTCCCTCCCTGTGCAGGAGTACCTGTTCATGCCGTTTGACCAGGCTCACAAGCAGTATGAGACAGCCAGGCATCTGCCGCCTCCCCTCTATGTCCTCTTTGTCCAGGCCACTGCATATGGGCAGGCCTGTGGTGAGTGTGGGGGCTGGGAGAGGAAGAGGGGCTGTGGGAGCAGCAGCTGTGGCTGATTGAGTCATTTGGAACCACTGCCTGCCCAGAAGCCCTCAGGTGACAGACGCTGCCTCCCCTCCGCACTGCCCTGCATGGCTGCTTTGACCAGGTGGCCTGAGGCATTTCTCACTGGATGGCTCTGAATCTTTCATGAGCCTGGCTGGAAGGCTGTTGGGTGCAGTGCCCAGGCAGCTTGGCTCGGCTCCCAGGTGCTCACCCTATGCTTGGCAGGTGGATCAGTGCCTCTTGCTCTGCTTCAGGGGTGGGGAGGGGGCATGATGAACACAGGTTTCAGCCAGCTCTGCTAGGCTTTTGCCGTGCCCCGAAACAGGCTGCATGTTTTTACAGTGAATTACCAGGTTAGAGGATTTGTCCTCATTACGCTTAAGTGCAACCTGTGACTGTGCTGGGGTTTTTGAGAAGTTTTGGGAGACCCTGCCTCTTATCCTAATGCAGCTTTCACCCAGCACCTGAACTTTTCCTCCCCACCCTTCCCCATCCCTCCTATCAAATGACATATATTACACCAGTGCATGCCCCTCCTCCCAGCCATGGGCACCAACACATTAGTGTCTCTCTTCTTGTGTCTTCCTGGTCCTTCTTGTCCTCTCCCTCCCCATTGTTCTCCTTCCTGTTTTCATCATCAGCTCATATGAAATCCTCCTCCCAGCCCCCTAGACAGGGTGAGTAATTTTCTTTTATTTTGTGTTTGAAACACAGCCTGTTTTCACTCCTGTTTTACTGTAGAATTCTAAGATTTGTCTGTCATTTGTTGGTGGGAGCTACATGATGATTCACGTAGGGTTGCCAGAGATAGGCCGCTTGGGAGAAGTTTGCCATCCCTCCTTAGTGCCATTGGGCAAACCGTTTTAGGCTCCTGTAACTATCTATACCCTTAAGAATAGAGCAGAAGCGGAGGTGGTCTGTCTCACCTCACAAAACCCCTAGAGTTCCAGAAAGGGGGCCCAAGGCGTCACTCAGTGAGGTGTCAGGCCTGGTGCACAGAACAGGCCGTAGCTCAGTGCTTGAGAAGCCAAGCTCAAATTGAACAGACTGGTCTTAATCCTGGCTGTCTGCTTCCTGATAATGGTACCTAACTTCTCAGCCTCAAGTTTCTTATCCATAAATGGCTATAATAGTAGTATTGCTCCTATAGGGTTTTCGTGTGCATTAAAAATTAATTTTTAAAAATTGCATAATTAAAATTATAAGCATCAGCTCATTCAGTCCCCACCACCCAATAGGGCAGCTACTGTTTATCGAGTCCCCACTTCATGGATGCAGAAGCTGAGGCTCAGAGCAGTGACATAACTTCCCAGCACACATGTTTGGTAATTGGTGGGGTAGACTCAGGCCTGGGAGTGGATTGCAGGGTCCAAGTTTCTACCAGCCTTTCTACTGCCTCCCAGTTAAATGAGACAATGCCAGCCAGTTGCTTGGGGTAATGCAGAACAGAGAAGAAGCACTTAGTCAGGTGAGAGCCATTGCTTCCAGGATATGGACAGGTATGGGCTTCTGGGCGAGAACCTTTAAGACAATTGGCAGACGAGTTCCATGTAGCTTTAGGCCTTAGGTTTGAGTTTCTGTGCCTTGGTGTGCACCTGAAGAGAGGCATTCCTCACCAGTCGTTTTGGGTTCTCAGTAAATGATGGGAAAAAAATTCAAGTTTCCTACCTTGTTCCTTTTTATCTGGAGAAAGGGCTTTGCCCTCCCACCCCTAGTCAGTAAGGAGCTGGGGCAGAAGTAGAAGGAATACAGCCCCAGAGCTGGGCCGTTTGCTTCGTTAGCACCTTTCCTCAGCGGCTTTCCTAGGAAACTTGTTCTTACCCTTAGATAAGATGTTGTCTGTGGCGATCGAAGGCAGTGTGGATGAAGCCAAGGCTCTGTTCAAGCCTCCTGAGGATTCCCAAGGTAATGTGGTAGTTGGCATGCCTCCCCTAGGGACACCGAGTCACCTCCCAAGGTGACTGGTTCTGTGTAGCAGGAAGCATGATTTTAATGTCTTAACTTCTTGGAGTAGGCAGGGGAGAACTCAGTTCTGGAGTCACAAAGTGCTGCCTTTGGATCTGAGCCTTTGTGTACTCATCTGTGAAGAATAGATAAGAATACCTTCTGTGGAATTACTATGTAGATTAAATGGGGTAATGCACACAAGGCCCGTAGCATCATCCTCAGCACATAGCAGCCCCTCAAATTATATGAGCTGCTGTCGTTGTTGTTTATATTACTATTATTATCACTACCACCACCACCAGTGGAGGGTCTTGGGGTTCATAGAAATGACATTTAAAAGCCCTTTAAAAAACAGGGGTGGTGGAATTATAGGTCATGCTACTTTTCCCTTTTTTTCTTCTTTTTCATCACCATGTTTTCTATACTGAATAAGCAGCAACAAATTAATCTATTATTTATTCTAAAGAAACCCATTTAGAAAAGGCAAGAGTCTGGGCCCCTTGATGCCTGTGGGTTGAGGTGCTTTAGGGAGCATGTGGATCCCTCTCACCCCTTGCTGGCTTCTCTGTGTGGCTGCAGATGATGAGAGTGACTCAGACGCTGAGGAGGAGCAGACCACGGTGAGAGCCACATCCTCTCCTGGGGGGCCAATTAGCTGCACTGGGGCCTGCTTGTTTGCAGATGCTGTCCTCCCTAGGATCAGAAGAAAGAGGTTTGAAAGAAAGGGCTGCTGGCGGGGGGGCCTGGCAGTCAGGCAAGCTAATGTAGCAGGTCCCAGGCAGCAGTGCTGAGGCTCTGGCTGGTAGGGAGAGGGAAGGGGTGTGTTCCTATGACCAGTGCTCATCAGCCTGGCTTTTTCCTTTGTCTAGAAACGCCGGCGACCCACGCTGGGGGTTCAGTTGGATGACAAGCGCAAGGAGATGTTGAAGAGGCACCCGCTGTCTGTCATGCTTGACCTGAAGTGCAAAGGTCTGGCTATACTCACCTTATTCTGGGGGATCCTGTAGCACCTAAGAGTTTGCTAGCTGCAGGTGCAGAGGGACCAGCAAGCCAGAGGCCTCTTTGCCCAAAAAATGGTTTTGGTCTCATACATATTTCTCTCTTTTTTCTCTTTGTTTTGCATGGAATGTGTTTATCAACACCACTCTGTAACCACCTAAACTAACTCGTCAGCCCGTGATTTTTTTTTTATAGTCATAACCATAACAACATAGTAACAAAACTCCAGATACATAAGAGAAGCTTGGTAAAACTACATGTTTTTCTGAATTTGACAAGTAAATACCCAGAACAATTTAGAAGAATATACAGGTTTTGAGTAACACAACCAACGTTTTTAGTTTAATAAATATAAGTAGAACTTTGTATTCTGCAGAGAATACAGTCATCCCTCAGTATCTGTGGGAGAATTGGTTTCAGGACTCCCCTCAGATACCAAAATCTATAGATACTCAAGTCCTAATATAAAATGGCATAATATATATATATTTTTTTGTCTTTTTTTTTCGTGTCCGGCAACGGATCGCAACCCTCAGTGTCGCGCCCGTACCGGACCGGGACCGGCAACGGGATCGCAACCCTCGGTGTTGCGCCCGCACCTCGCTCAGCCAGTGAGCGGGAACCGGTCTGTATGTGGGATCCGAACCCTCAGCGGGAGCGCCGCCGCACTCTCAAGCGGCGCACTGTAGCAGTGCGCCACCGGGCCGGCCCTAAAATGGCATAATATTTGAATATAACCTATGCACAGCCTCCTTTATGCTGTAAATAATCTCAAAGTTACTTATACCTAATATAATGTAAATGTTATGTAAGTAGTAGTTATACTGTTTTGGTTTTTTTTGTTTGTATTATTTATTATAATTTTTTTTTCTTAATATTTTTGATCCACAATTGGTTGAATCCACTAGTGCAGAACCTGCAGATACAAAGTGCTGACTATATATGTTTTGAAAGTGGTTTTTGGAAAAAAGTAGCACATGATAAAGCATTCTAGCAGTGTAAGAGTTAACAGTGAAATTTAAGTTTCCCTCTCACCGCAGGCTATCAGAGCCAGTCCTTGATCTTAATACCAAGGACAACCATTGTTACACATTTTTTAATGTATTTTCTAGAAATATTCTATACACCTAGAAGCTTTTATACAAATGTGTATTTATCCCTTTCCCACCTTAATTTTTATACAAATGGAAATGTGCTCTACACACTGGTCCTCTCTTTGCCTTTTTATTAAACATTATATTTTGAGATCATTTTAGACTTAACAGAAGAATTGTGGAGATAATGAGTTCCCGTATACTCTTTATCCAGCTTCCCCTATTGTTATGTCTTAATTAACCACAGTGCAGTTATCAAAACCACTGTTAATTTCATTGGTTCAATACTATTAACAGGGTCAGCCCATGGCTCACTTGGGAGAATGTGTTGCTGATCACACCAAGGCCACAGGTTCGGATCCCTATAATAGGGATGGCCAGTTAGCTCACTTGGGAGAGCATGGTGCTGACAACACCAAGTTAAGGGTTAAGATGTCCTTATTGGTCATCTTTAAAAAAGAAAAAGAAATACTATTTTTTTTTTTTGTCTTTTTCCGTGTCCAGCAACGGATCGCAACCCTCAGTGTTGCCCCCGTACCGGACCGGGGACCGGCAACGGGATTGCAACCCTCGGTGTTGCTCCTGCGCCTCGCTCAGCCAGTGAGCGGGAACCGGTCTGTATGTGGGATCTGAACCCTCGGGCGGGAGCGCCGCCACGCTTCCCAAGCGGCGCACTATCCATTGCGCCACCGGGCCGGCCCAAAAGAAATACTATTAACTGCAGACTTTATTCAGAGTTCCATAGTTCCCTTGTTTTTTCACTAATGTCCTTTTTCTGTTCAGGTTCCAAGCCAGGATCTCACATTACATCTAGCTGTCATGCTCCTTGGTCTCCTTGAAGCAGTGATAGTTCCAAAGTCTTTCCTGGTCTCTCCTGACCTTGATTAGACTGAGGTTATGGGTTTCAGGGAAGAATAGCAGAGATGTAGTGGTCATCATCACATCCTATTGAGGGTACATGGTATCACTGTGACTTTTTACTGGTAATGACCTTGATCGCTTGGCTCCCTTTCCCTATTATCTTTGTTAGAAGCAGAGTCACTAAGTTCAGCCCACACCTAAGGGCGGGGAAATTAAGCTCCACCTCTGGAAGGACGAGTAACAAATTTGTAGATACTCTGCTTTTTTCGCTCAACATTGTATTGCCATTAAGTTTTTGTTTTTATAGTAACAGATTGTAAAAGCCTCTTTGAATTTCTTTTCTACAGTACAGTTGACTCTGCTGTGAGTTTTTGACTCATAAATTATCTCTTCTTCCTTCCCCTCTAGATGACAGTGTGCTTCACCTGACTTTCTACTACCTTATGAACCTCAACATCATGACAGTAAAAGCTAAAGTGACAACCGCCATGGAGCTGATCACCCCCATCAGTGCAGGGTATTGGGCAGGAGCTATGGGGAGTGAGGTGCGGGAGGGGGATGTGATGAGAACTTTGGTGTGGGACCACCCTCAGTTCCTCCATCTGGCTCTGACGAGGTTCACTGTCATGTTGATTTCTGTCATGTCCTCATGGACTAGGAGTCCTGGCATGTCACTGATATTTAGAAAGCATTCTCAGGGCTGGCTGGTTGGCTCAGTTGGTTAGAGCACAGCCTTGTAACACCAAGGTCAAGGGTTCAGATCCCCGTACCAGCCAGCCACCAAAAAAAAAAAAAAAAAAAAAAAAAAAAAAGCACTCCCTGACTTTAGT